TGAGAGAATTAGTGACAAGGATAAAAATTTTTTAAATAGTTTTATTTCTTTTTTTTTTAAAATGTTTGTAATACTCCTTAATAGTAATACTGTAAATATAAAGTATTTCAAGGCACAGAAACTATTTGTGTCTTTATTTGTGCTTCTCAGCCAGTTATCCAGAGCTTACAGTAATTCTCCGTATCAGCCTTTTCTAGAAAATCTTTTGACATTTTGCCAGTGAACCGACTCTTTCATGAAATCCCTGGTTACTTAGAGGACACTAAGCCTCACCCATGTAGAGCCCTTCATACCATTCTACTCATAAAAAGTCACCTTTACCCCCCAGGCTTGGTGGTTTCAGAACGCTAGAGGCTGAAACAGATATCATAGAATCTGACAGTCTTCAGCCTGCTCTTTCTGGCTCATATTTGTCAGATTCCTGTCCTTTTCGGGGCCTGAAGCAAAGCCCAGTGAAATTGTCAGGAGTTTTGACAACCATCTCAGCTGTGTACTGGGTTAGACCTCATGCCTCCAATGAGGGCTACACTACGGAGGAGACCCTTGCGGTATCCCAAGTCAATGAGTTTTTGACAGGCTGATGACGTGAGTGTTCACAGCTTTAAAAACATGTTTTCTTTGAAAATATTTCAATAACTGCATTTTTGTTCATGGAAATCTTAAACTTTAAAACAAAAAGGCTGCAGGAAACCCCTGTGTTGTTAGTTGCAAAAGACGGGTCTGCAGTGCTTTTCCATGCTACTGATCATATATGGAATTCTAAATGACCAGCAGATCTGATTTTACAATCATGTGTGAGAAGTTTAGACTGAGTATTACTTGTAATTCTGTCATTTATCTCTACCGTTTCTTTATTAATGCCTATAGCATTCTTGGTCTGTCCTCGATCTTTCATGTTTTGTACTAATGCTTTCTTACAGTATTTTCTAAATTTTTGAAGTAAAAGCCTTTCAAGATGAATAACAATCCTTCCTTGGGAACTGACTGAAAGCCGAGTCAACTTTATTCATATAGCTATTGCCTTACACATTCCCTCTTTGGAAATCACTGTTCTATTGTATGTTATTGCTTCTTTGTCTCTATATGCCTTAATGAGTAGTAAAATACAGCGTTGACATTTAAAATATCATCACTGTGTGGTTGATGGGTGCGTGAATGCCTGGCTAAGAGAGTTTTCTCAGAGGTGCTACTTTTTTTGACTCTGTGCAAATTCAGGCTCTAATGATGGTGGGTTTTTTTGTATCGGTTACCCTTGATGGTCCTTTCTGAGCTTTGCTTTGCAAACATAGGTGGGAATGTTCTTTTCATTATAGTTGCTATTTTCCATGCCCATCCAGTGTCTTGTCCTTCAGCCACCTCAAAAAGTTTGTGCAGCACTTTGGAAATAACACTTAACTATACATCACAGGAGTTAACGAAAAACGTAGTCAGAGCTTGCACAGCCTTTACAAGCCAGTCACAAACTGTCACCTAGGGTGTATTATCAACTGGGATAAGCTTTCCATATTTTAGGTTCACAGTTTGTCACTACGTTGTTATTTTCATTGCTATGTCTTTGATCTCAGAAAAAGCTCTGCGCTGGTCGAGGAGTCTGTTGACACAGTCCCCTTTGCCCATGTGGGCCTTTGAGCTCGTTACAGGGTGAAAGAAGGATCATGAAAGCAGAGCTTCAGAAAACATTCTAGTTGCCAAACAACATAGCATTTATAAAGCTGTTCTACGTCTTACTGTGGGCCTCTGCTTTGTATCTGAGCTTTCAAAGATTGCTGTCCACACCATTCTTTCACTGATGTAGCTGCAACAATACAAAAATATTAGCAGTACTTGGCATTGTGTCAACGTAGAGGAATCCAGCCCACGTAGGAACTGCAATACAAGCAGAAAATAGATAGACCCTTTGCCCTGAGGTTGCTGTCTGAAGGTCTAGACTACAGAAGGTAAGTGGATACAGAGAGATGGGGAAGCAGGAAGAAATGAAGTTATGAGCACTTACTGCCTAGTGACTTATTGTCACTACTAGTGACAGCTTTAGGTGGGTTTCCCTTCTGAAATCTGCTGTAGTTCCACCAGCTTGGTCAGCAAACCCTCATTGTTTCTGATGTGTCTTTGCTGGCAGCCAAGGTGCCAGAAGGTCCTGGCCTGTTCTTCAGATCGTTTTATCTGGTGCTAGTGTCAGGAAGCCCCAGCTGTGCGGTACTAGGTGCTGTACACACATCTGCACAAGACAGTCAATGCCTCAAAGCACAGTCTAATGAAGTGTAAGGAAGATCACTGAATGCACATGGTTTTGAGGTACGTAGCTGCCGTTCACATGAAACCCGATAGTAAAATATGCACCGCGTCAGTGCTGTCTCAAACCACCAGTAATCTGTTAAGGTAACACGCTTTAGTAGTCAGTCCCATTACAGCACAAGAGGGCTGAGATGATTTTCCCTCCTAGTCCGTGTGGTAAGGGAAGTTCTGTTACTGATATTTATCAAGAGATACTTTTACAATAAAAGTTATGGACAGTTAAAAGCATATCAGGAAGCAATACCTTGAGATTTCATAGTGTTTACAAATGGTATTTCCAATTCTATACACAAATTCAAGTACATTTATAGTTTTTTGTGGTACTAATGGAAATTTCTGTATCTATGCATGTCTCTTTCTTCAAACTGGCTGGATTTTAATATGAGAACTATCCATACATCCCTGATTTGTCATTTATTAGAAAACTCAAAACCTTAATGGTTGACATTGGAGAAAAAGAGTCAAGATGCAGGCAAAGTTCCTCTGTATTACAGAAGATTCAAAGAGGGGAATATATTTGATTCTGGTTATGCTAATTCATTGCACCAACAGGCTGTGATTGCATTCTGTCTAGTCAGTTCTGTTCTTCGTATCTGAAAGAAGAGATACCGTCAAAGCAAAGGGCATTTGGAGATGGACAAGGAAAATAATTGAGTCACAGAGAGTCTTCTGTTTGAGGAGGGATGGGAAAGATAGGGGTTGTTTTAATTTAAAGAAGAGACAAATAAGAGAGAACGTGACAGTAGTATACAGAATGATGAATGATGCAGAGAAGGTGAATTGGGCGCTCTTGCTTGTCCTTTTGTAACTACAGAAGCTGAGGGACATTCAATGAGAATAGTAACAATTTAAAGGGAATTTTTAAACAGTTACTGCCTTGTTTCCACAAGCTCATCTTCTTTCTCCATGATGTTAGAGCATATATTGAGAGCAATGCAGAAGACCTATAGAAAAAGAATTCAGGTTTTACTGTTGAGATGATGTTGTGGGTGTACTGCAAAGACTATTGACTGGATCAGGTTATATGGCTTGTGTGAAGAAAAACTGGTCAGATAGTCTTACTGATCCTTTTTAGCCCTAAAAATCGGTGGAAGTTGCATAAGATATTAGTATGTGTAATGAGACTATCCATACAATTGCTAGATAGAGTAAAAAAGTAACTAATCAAGGCAGAAATCTATTATTGATGGAAAAAATACTGCTCTGCAGCTGTCTCCCATGTGACTTTTTTGCCTGTCTCCCTGATTATCTGTTCATGACCCTTTTATGAAGGGCTGATGTTCTGCCACATTGGCTCAGGGCTCTACTGTCAGGGCCAAGCAAACTTCTGTCCTTGAGGAAGTTGTAGGAAATACGTTTATTCTTCCTGAACATTTTTTCTGTTATTCTTTTGGTTTTGGCCATTCCATCTTTAAGTAATAAGTTTGTATCAGGATTTTAATTTTGATCAGTAGATTCTAGGGAACTTCAATCCATAGACTAAATTGTATATGTATCTCTCCCCTCACCCTATTTTCTTAGATAAAAAGGGGATGATGTGGCATGCAAATGGCTTATAAACGAGTGTGGTCGCTTTCTGGTTAGATTATTACAATATCTGTTTAGATCCATTGTTACTTTCAGACTTGATCCCTGACGCTCTTTTTATAGATTTTAATTATTTTTGTAATTCCTCAACATACTGTGTTATTTCATGTAGTAAATCCGAACCCACCTGTGGTGATCATCACTTCAAAGCCTAGTTTCTGCAGTCATTTTGAGTGCTGTGCCTGCCTCGTTTCTAACGTCTGTGTCTAATCTGTTGTGGTACTGTCTGCGTAGTGAGTAAGACCCGAGTCACATCTGCAAGATAGCCTTTCCTTTCCTTCCTCAGTTTCCCCCACCTTACAATGGGTGAAACACCTCAGAGTTTCTGGATGAAAACCACTCACCATGATATAGGGAAAATAGCATTTTTGGTAGCATTTCCTCATGCCTTGTAATTAGGTCTTTGTTTCTCATCAACCTTAGAGACATCATGAGTGCATTTGACGACATTCTCAGTATTAAACTTTGTGCAGCTATCGAGCGTTTAAAATATTTACTAGTCAGCAAGAATAGATGTACTTTATGAATCACGTCAAGTATCTAATGCGTAAAAGTTTTTGGAGGAGAGACATATTTGTGTGTTTGTGTGTGTGTACATGTGTACTATACATATAACTGTACAGTTAAGAATGTATTTGCCCACCACTGCAGTTAAGTTGTCTCTGAAATAGTTACAGATGTTATCCTGGCAGCTCTGAAATACCAAGCTACAACATGGTGAAGAACAGTTAACCATTTGAAATCGCAGAGAAGATTTAATTGTAACTGTAATTATCTAGTCAGACGTATGAAAATTTTATGTCTAAACTTCAGTGAAAGAAGCATTCAGTCTAATTTTTTGGCATTTGTCAAAAGCCCTCCAAAAACCATCCAGGCTGCAGGCTAAGCTGCCTTCCATAAATCTCAGCCAAAGACTTGCTGCTGACTTTTAAAGACTAAATTATTTCTATTGTTCTCAAGTAATTACATTTTTGTTGTTATCTGTGGAAAGAGCCCCACTGGGTTGAGCATGTAAGTATATGGGGGTGGGGGGAAGGAGGATTTGTATTAGTTAAGTGGAGATGATAAAGCTGAAAACATAGCAGCAGGACATGAATCAGATTTTTTTTTTCTTTTTCTAGTTGGCTCGTCACAATAAAACTTTGCAACAGATGCTGAAGCCAGGGTCAGATCCAGATGAAGGAGACGAAGCCTTGAGGTATTATGCCAATCATACAGCACAGATAGAGGTAAAGAACTGCTCACTAGAAGATTGAATATGAGATGAGTTTGCGTCTTGTACATGGTATATCACCTCTCTTTAAGCTTCTGAACAGCAAAGCTTATTCCAATGGTATAGATTATTTATGAGAAGGAGAAGGTTGAATAATATGCTTCTGGCAGTGGAAGAGAAAGAAACACACCTGTATTAAAAGTGGCTTCAAATAATCATTTTACAGTAGCTTTCTTATGTGTTACCAAACATGTTTTGTTAGGGAGATAATGACTGTGGATAGTAGCTGTGTCATGAAGTCAGGAATAATCTTGTATGGTACATCACTCAAATAAATAATCATGAGTTTCAAAGCCAGTGATGCTAACTGATCAAATTAAAAGTTTGGCTGGAGTACAAAGAGGTTTTGAAGTAGTGTAGACATTCACTATGGCGTTTGTTTAAAAGACCAAGGCTTGGCCTGGTTCATCAGTTCTGCTCTTTATTTTAAACTTTACCCCTGCCATGGATTAGATTTAAATCAAGATCCACAGAGGTATTTAGGTTCTTAACTCTTATATCAGATCCTGTACTGTTACAGATTTCATGGGATTATAGGTATCAAGGTAGGAGTTAGACACTCTAGTATCTCTAGACCTTAGTGACTTTGTAAGGAGGAGAATTTCTATGGTGCAAAGGTAGCTGCCACGAGAGACTGCAGGAAGAGGCATCTGGCTCTCTCTTGGAAATGCTGTATCAAGTCCAAAATTGGTCGAGTTTGAAAACTGCACAGTATGGTTGCACACAGGCCCAGCCTGAACCTGAGCTGATGGTTTTACCTTCGGTGGGCTCCTAGGCACCATCAACATTGGACCTGAGCTTGTGTGCATATGGAACGGTCAGACGCAAGCTCCTCAGGTCCATATTGTCCTGGCTGCCATCAAGACAGGCCAGGCCTGGATCCTTCTCTGTTTCCCACCATCCTTTCTGCCTGACACTAGTCACGTTATCCCACCACGGGATAGCTGGAAGCTCCATGACTGAGATTGTCCAGGGAGCAGCTCAGTGCTCCTCTTAACATATTTTAATACTTCGGGTGCTCCCAAGATATCCCTTAGCAATTATCAGCCAAGTTATCTGGGTAGGTTGTAAATTGAGGCATTAAACACGCACTATGATCTGCTCTAATGTGGCCAATAACTTCTTCCCGGCGTAGTTTCTGAAATCTGCTAAAACCTCGTGGCTGCAGAGCCTGTTCGTCGAGCAGACATGGAGGCCTCTGTTCTCGAGGAGGCTTTATAAATGTCATTCTGCAGAGTGACACATGCAGCCTACCTCTTCATCTGAGTCCCTGACAGAATTGAAGAGGTGCTGTGAGCTTCCTTCACTTGCCCTACTAGGTTAGCTGCTAGTCACATAGTCCCATTGCGCAACCGCTGGCCCGAGACACAACTACTTACTTAGGACACTTCAAAACAGCCTGTTCAAATTTCACATAGTGCACATGCTCATGGGCAGGCACGAGCACAATTATCCTTCATCTCTAACACAAATGTGCTTGAATATGTTACTCTTAAAAATGGTCTTTTTACTATGTTCACATAGTAAATGTGGTCTTTTACTATGTTCACAAATGTGCTTGAATATGTTACTCTTAAAAATGGCTTAAGACAGGTGGTCTTTTACTATGTTCACTTAGTAAATATGAATTAACAGAGAGAAAGGAGGGTTCTTGAATGCAGGACTGTGACTGGAGAAATGAAACTCAACTCAGCATTGCTGCTACATCAAATGGATGTTCACTGTCTTTCTCTGAAAGTGGTCCTAGACCTGTTTGGCATTTCAGATATAGCTGCCCTATATCAGGGTATCTCATTTGTTTGATTTGAAAGTCAAATATTGGGTTCATTTTCACTGGTGGCTGTACAGAGACACGAGTCTCAGCATCAAGATGAGTTTTGCACCCATTTCTCTATTATTAGTAATGCAGAGTCCATGATCAGAATGGGGAAGCAATTTTGATGACAGTGTAGTGAGATGGAATAAGATCTAGCTCACTCGATGATAACTCAATAGGCCCTGAAACACAGACAACGCAAAACCTTGTTTTTTGCCAAGTAGGCAGATAAAGACTGACAAGGTATGGGTGCCCTCTGGGTAACAAGGTGTTATTTTTGCATGTTCACCTTCACAACTTACTTCGTCATAGAAATAGACTCGGGGTGAGAAAAGAGTTTTGTAATCCGAGCAGAAAGCCCCTGAACTTCTGTACTGTTTACTGGGAGAAATTAATTTCAATTTATTTGAAAATTGAAGCATTCTGAATTAGAACATTTTTTGTATTTGGGAGAAGTTTGGACCTAGGTTTTACTTGAGACATATATTTGCCACCTTATTTTCAGGCAGGTTTTTGAGGATAGAAAAGCAGTTTTATTTTGTTTTAGGATTGATTGGTTCAATTTAATTGTAATTTTCAAATAATTTATGTATTAATTTATAAATAAAAGGGGAGCTGTGAACAAGAAAAGATATGACAAAATGGATGGAAAGTCACTGATCCTGAAAAAAATGTGCTTTTTATTTATAGATTGTTCGCCACGATAGAACAATGGAACAAATAGTCTTCCCTGTCCCCAATATTTGTGAATTCCTCACTCGGGAATCCAAAAGTCGGGTATTCAATACAACAGAGAGAGATGAACAAGGAAGCAAAGTCAATGACTTTTTCCAACAGACAGAGGATCTGTACAACGAGATGAAGTGGCAAAAGAAAATTAGGAGTAAGTATTGCAATTTCAAAAAATAGCTTAATTACGCTAAAACCTTGATTTTATGCCCTCCAATTTTTTTCATTTTAATAATACACTTTTCTCTCTTCACTCCGATAACTTCATCAGGCAAAACTGTTCGGGGCTTGAGAGCGTAGGTCAGCAGAGTGTAGGTCAGCCAAGACACATGCATGCCACCATAAAAGAGGCATAATATGGAGCAGTTAGTAATGTAAGTAATGTGTTCAAGATGGTGTTTGGACTCCAGAAGTTAAAATGAGGGATGAATTAACTGGGTGTAGTTCCACTAACCTCAATAGAGTTCCACCTAATTAAGCCAAGGCCCCTAATATTTCACAAAAGCCTACGCAGCCGCCTATTTGAGGTTTGCAGATTCCTAAAAGACTTTAAAAAACTTGTAAATGTCAGTCACTTAAAAATATCTCTTACCAGAACCTCAGCTGCTTTAAATCTGCTTGACTTCCACGAGTCGGTTCCCCTTTGCCAGTTGACTTCAACCTCGTTTGACTAGGTCAATGTCCCAGTCTGTTAGCCCGTACTGGTGTGTGGCCCGTGGTAGTGGGAGAGGCACTGAAGCTGCTTGCAGATCTGACAGGTACAGTCGAGGTCGTGGGGGAGAGATCAAAGCAGGGACCCGAAGAGGAGGTGCAGTGAAGCCAGGCCAGGTACCCTGACTTTCTTATTTAGTTCACTGGTGGGCATTACAGCTGCCAGCCCTCACCAGGAATGGGGCTGCTGCTGCTGCCGATGTCCTAGGGACAGGAAGCTCTTGCCAGCTCAGCCACTATCAACTCTACCCTTTGCTTTTGGAGCAAAGAATCAAATCCGCAAACTAATTAAGCATCTACAATATGCTTGAGGGATAAGGAAAACATTTACATTTTTTATATATATATATATACATAGAAATACATGAGAGTGGTCACTGCTAAAATGCAGGTGCCTTTGGGGTGGCACACATCAGCTGCTCCCAGGAAAGAAGTGAAGAGTAGGATTTATGGTCAGAGCAACAGGGAGTTTGGATAGTCAAAGCAATATGGTTTAATGTAGCATCCTTAACGTGATGGAAACATGAATGTTGGTTGCAGTTTTTATAAACGTCAATTCCCAGGCTGTCATTTTCAGAGGCAGTAGTAAGTCTTCAGCGTCAACCCTATTGGCCCAGGTCCGCTTCCCTTGGTGGCACTGTAAGAACTTGTCTGTACTGAAAAACTGAACAGAATAGAAGTTGAAAAATAAATTATTTCAGAATAACTCCCTATCTGCACAGTCTATTTGGGAGTAGAAGTCACTGTATTGTAGAAAAAATACTCCAGTAACAAAATCATATCTGTGGGGTTTGCTTAAGAAACACAAATAAAAGAGCCCAAGCCTACACTTGGATAGACCAGACCTGCCTAATGCTATAAGCAAAGAAAAGTGGTGTATTTTTATTCAGAACAGAAATTCTTCAATTCCTTTCATCAGTAAAATGACCCACAAGTTTCCAAGTGGGTTTTTTTTTTATTTGAAAAGGTAATACAGGTTGAGGCTTGGTTCATTCTTTAGCCAAGTGTCTGGTAGCATGCAGGCTCTGTTGCTTGCATTGACAGATGTCATTTGCCATGGCTCCAAATGCTTAAATCTCAGTAGTCAACAGCATAATTTTATCACAATGAAATCTCAATATTTATCTACAACTAAAGTCTATTTAGATTAAAGCCTGAGGCAGTCATATGCATTTCAAGGAGTCTGCTGTTTTTAAAAAGTTATCTGGGTGCAGGCAAATCAGGAATACACTCTGCATACTTGGCGGGAGGTTCTCGGTGCTTGAAAATCTGGTTAATAGAAATGCATCATGTTACAATAGATAAACTTCTCTGGCTAGAGATTTTTTCGCACTATGCACATAAAATCTTGTTTTAAATGTTCATTTTAACATGTTGTAGTGCAGTGATATATATTAAGTGCTTGCCTGGGTCTTAGTACCCTCTGATCTGGTTCCTAGTCTTTTTGCTGAATCGTTTATGTGACTCTGGACACAAAATCTTAACCATGTTTTGCCCTATTTCTCTTTTGAGTCTTTTCTAACTAGGTTACAGGTTCTTTGGGATATAGACTATTTCTGTGTATTTGTTCAGCACTTCACATATGGAGATCCTGGCTTCATTTGAGACCTTTTAAGCGGGAATACAGAGCTGTTTGTCAGCAGGTGACCTTGGATGTCTGAGGATCATGCAGGAAATAGTCAGATTTCATAGAACTAAATCCCAGTCAGACCAAATTTTATCTGCTCTCCAAAGTAGATCAAGATGTATTTAGTTCGACAGAGGTGGGGAAAATACCACAGTTCTGAAACCTTGCCTATTCCATCATTCTTTGAATAATGTCATCAGTGTACTTGGTCCAACTGGGTCATCTGGATGACCCATTCTTGGTCTTCTGGTTGACTGGCACGCAGAGTGCTAAAATGTATTTGTTTGTGTGATTTTGTGTCTCCGTGCACAGAGGCTACAATTTCAGAGGCAGATGAAAAGTCTCCTTAGCCAATGATCCAGTCCTAAAATCTTAGCAGAGGCAAAATTCTCATATATAATAAACTGTCTTTTGATCTTTGGATTAAAAGCTCTGCTTGAAACTGTGTTTTATGGCAAACTTATGTTTAATATTTGTCTATTTCAGTTAATTTTAAAGATCTACATATTTTCTTCATTAATCTGTATTTTTAAATTCCCTTGAGGCCATTACTGATTGAGTTCCTGCCTGCTTTCATTTCACTGATTGCTGCTTTTCTCCCCTTTCTAGATAATCCACCCCTGTTTTGGTTCTCCAGACACATCTCTCTCTGGGGGAGCATTTCCTTCAACCTTGCTGTATTCATCAATTTAGCAGTTGCTCTGTTCTACCCTTTTGGAGACGATGGAGATGAAGGCAAGTGGAGTTTGGTTTTATTTTTCCTTTTAATTTTAGGTGCTTTCATTCTAAGGTAACAGTTACATAAAACTGCATCTTCAGGTATGCTGCAGAAGCCATTTAGTATCTTCTAAGTAGTTACCAGATGTTGTCTGAAATGTGGTAGTTGATCATCTGTGTGTCACATAGCCCATGCAATGTGAAGTAAAATAGACAGAACATAGCTGCTAAGCTGAAGATTATCTAGATGATCTGAGTGATCTGAGCTAATTCTTTTTTTTTTTTTTTTAAGTATTGCCATATTGCAGTGTACTACTGCACTGTATCATTCAGTTACAGCTTCTGAGCTGAAGAAGGATTCCTGGCAGCAGCAGGACAGAGATTCCTTAAAACTGACCAAATTGCATGACTTGCAGTCTTAAAAACATATGGAATAGAATGGTTGGAAAACCAGCTTGTTGGCTTTTGACTATTTTGTTTGTTGGGATAAAAGGACGTAACTGTTGCAGAGGATAAATGCATTACATAAAAATATGCTTAATAGCTATAATTCTGTCTCTGCTTCATCACATGTCACAGAAAATATAACAAATAATAAATTTCATTAAATAAATGCAGCAGACTAGTGGGAGGCCTCTTTGAATCCAAAACAAGCTTAATTGGGATAAAGGCGGCTGAATAGTTCCGAATACTGGTAATGGGAGTAGAGCCATTCACCTCTGGGTCTTTGATTCGTGTCCAGCCCAGTCAGTAATGTGACTGAAAGTCACCTCTGATGGCATGTGAACTGGGGCTGGTGGAAGCAGTCCAGCTTCTAGTAGATACATGTGCTTTTCACAAACACCAGAGTTGGCACCAGCCAACATTCCTGTTGGCTGGCTCAACAGAAAGGCAGCAGATTAGAATATATTGGCATGGAGACCACGCTGCCCTTTCGCCCTACGGGGTGGTCTCTGCAGGTCACAGCTCCGGCGTCTCCGCAGCCTGGCGCAGGACACTTCGCAGGGCTGTGCCGTGGCAAAGGGAAGCGTTTGCACTTAGTGCTTTCCTCTTTGTGAACTGAAGAGTCGCTCAGCGTGCACACGCATCGGAGCCCTTGCAGGATGAGAGGAGAAATAAAGAGTTAAAAATAAACCTTTTAAGCTACTCAATTTTAGCTAATCACGGAAATCCTCTGGTCTGCAATCAGTAGGTATTAATACTTATTTTGAACTGCAGATTTATATAGCATTAGTTTAAGTGGCCCCAGTAATCCAGCGATTTCAGTTATAGCACATTTCAGGATTCCAGTTCCTAGTGCTTGTAAAAACAAAAGCAATTTCTGAGCAGTAAACAATAGGTGTGGCCAAATGGGATCGGCAGGTCACGAGGCAGCCTCCTTCTTACTTCCAGTCTCCCCCTCCACCAAAACCCCATCTAACAGCTGGAGTTTGTCTCCCATTTTAACCCTTCACCTTGCATAAATCCACCTACACTCACGTGTCAGAGGTGCCTGGGCTGATCTAATCATCCCAAGAACACTGCCTTTTAGTAGGTACCTGCAGTTCTTACATCATACAACATAAGCAAAAGTGCGCTCCAGCCTCCGGCGTGCGTGTCTGCACGTTATCGGTGCAGGTCCTGCGATGTGAAATTGTTTGACCTGTGGTGGGGAAGAAGGAAAAATGATTTGTTAAAGAAACACCGAGTGCTTTGGCCTTACCTTTCAGATCCACTTGGAAGTTATTTTTTAGGATCCATTAAAAGTTTCCAACTCTTGTTGGCAAAGAAACTATCTGACAGAGCTGACCTTGAATCTCCTGCCAAGGATATAAACACTCCTGAACTTTGGGAAAAAGTTCGGATGCCAACTGAGTGTTGAGGCTAGGGCCTCATCTCGTTGTTTTCTAATCCCACTGATGCTCCTCAGCCGGGTATCTGTTGCCGAAGGGATAGCATGATTTCTGTTGTGAGTCTAGCTAAATTTTCTATTCCCTTCTCCCCTGTCACTGACCTCTCAGTTCATCGGATAACAATAGAAGTCAGTGTACAGGCGTGACAGTGCCCTGAGATCTGAATGTGCTTTTTATATCACAGCAACATGGTGTGTTTCCAGGGCTTTAAGCAGAGGAGAGAGGAAAAATAGGGGCATCGCTCAAAACTCAGGGAGAGCCTGGAGCCAGCATCTTGCAGAAGGGCAAAGGGACTGACTCTGAAGGCAGTGGCTCACGTGCCTGCGGGAGCTCAGCGAGACACAGGACCCGCTGCCTCCCCAGGAGCAGGGCACAGCTATTCAGCTGCTCTCGGCAACGCAGATGCTGCCTGTTCTTGCCTGAGTCCCCGTGGATGCCTCCCGCTGCAGCGAGTGCCGTGCTCCCGTGCAGAGGCGGAGGCTCCCGCTGAACACCCACAGCTGTGGAGCAGAAAGCTGCTTTTCTAAAACCGGGGCGCTTCGGTGCTGTTGGGGATTGAAACGTGCCGCTGCGGCGTGGTGCCGCTTGCTGCACCGTCCTGAGGACCGGCTTTTTCTGTAGCTGAGCAATCATGGAATTAGACTGGAGGAGCCCTAATGATCCCTGCAGAAGGGAACTGATTAGTAGCTTGCTCCAGGAGAAGGGTAAACTGTTTCATCTCTGAGCACTCCTCGGTTTTAATGGAAATTTCAGTAGCTGCTCTTACTACCCGTGCAAAAATCAGCAATACTTTGATAATAATAGTTCTGGCCGCAGTTATGGCAAGTCGCGGTCAGCAGTTTTGATGTGTGAGTCACACTTTTTGTTGGCTGTATTGGCAAAGGAATTGATCTTTTGGGTCTGTTTCTTGGTGAAAAATGGACTCTCCAAAGATGCCTTTCTCAAATCTTCCTTTCTCCTCTATACAGGCACGCTCTCTCCGTTGTTTTCACTCCTCCTTTGGATAGCAGTGGCGTTTTGTACAGCAATGCTGTTTTTCATCTCCAAGCCTGTTGGTATTCGACCCTTTTTGGTGTCTGTTATTCTCAGGTCTATATATACTATAGGGCTCGGTCCTACCTTGATACTTCTTGGTGCTGCTAATGTAAGTACTTAAAAAGCAAGCAGAACTTCCCTTTCAGCAGAAGCAGAGATATTAAGGGTCTCCTATTAAAAAAAGTCCTTGATTAGGGCTATGCAAAGAACCTCTTTTTCTGGTTCACTGGTTAAACCAAAAAAATAAATCATTTCCAGTCATCCTGAAACAGCACTATCAGCAAAGTGGGAAGCTAAGAAAAAAAGCTGGTTTGGTTTTGTGCATATGCAAATACTTTAAAAATAAAAACAATATGAAATTTAAAGAAATATTGCCAAATAAGAGGAATCAAATTTACAGTTTCTCACATTAAAAGAATAATTTTCTCTCCCAATATGCTCCGTAAAATTGACACAAACTTGTGAGATGTTTGTCAGCTTAAATCTCTATTTTTGAGAAGAAAAAAGTTTTAGAAATTAAAAATTCTCTCAGCCCTTTTCCAGATTTCTTAACTTATTTATGTCTATGTTTGCATGTTTATTGAGCTTGGTAAGATATATAGTCATGCTCATAAGTCATCTGTGTAGATTCCTGCCTGACTGTTACAGCTGTAATTCACCTTAACACCAGGCAGCAAAGTATTAGGCTATTTGCCACCAGTTCTGTGAGAATTTCATGTACTTAAAGCTACCCAGACATATTGTCAAAGGTAAAGACAAGTAAGCTGCACTTGCCCGTGTCATATTAGTGAAAGAAAAAACCATGTTGAGTCCTCATTGCTTGTCCTGGACTACTAAACAGATGAGGTTAGCCCCTTTCATATTTACTTCTGCATCGCTGTTCGCACGCAGGCAAAGCTCAGGAGCAATGAAGAATCTGATGCTGTTGCTTAAATGCTGTGCTTCAAAAATGCCCCCAGTATTTTTTGTTAAGGATTTCATACTGAAAAGCGTGATCTGAAGGAAATAGTACATCTCGCACGCTCCCCGCCACGCTTTCTGTTGTGTTACTATCGTTCTCTTCGTAGTTGCATGCCTAGCTGCTCTTACGTAGTCTCAGATCTAAACTTAAAATTGTTAGGAATTCACTCCCCAGTTGTTTTTTTAATGCCTTATGACATTAATCCCACCCTGCCTACTCACTAATGTTGCAGAAATAAATCACAATGTAATGAGGCACAGTGCAGTGTTAGAGGAGTGATGTACTTCCACGTACTCTCACGGGCTTGTTCCCGGTGTACCTTGGGAGTTCAATTTCTCTCATCTGACTCCAGCTATCTAAAAGTTGAGCATTTACTCAATGCAACTTATCTAGACTTTTCGCACGCTGTAGCAAAGCCAACAATAAATAACAGGATTTTTCTGATGGAATAAACCTGGCCTTTGTTACCTCCCCACAGCTTTGTAACAAAATCGTGTTTCTGGTGAGCTTTGTTGGGAACCGTGGAACTTTCACCCGTGGCTACAGAGCAGTCATCATGGACATGGCTTTTCTCTATCACGTAGCGTATGTCCTGGTCTGCATGCTGGGCCTCTGTGTGCACGAATTCTTCTATAGCTTCCTGGTAAGTATGTGCTTCTGTGGAGGGGAAAACTTTGCAAAAATAGAAAATACCGTTACCCGTGCAGCTGTCTTCAATTTCTTCCTGACAATCAAGCCAAATCGTGTGTATTTTTAGCATACCGTTGTGTTGCAGCCCCTTAGGAGCTGCTGTTTTTGTTAGAACCTGTTTCTGTTAGGACTTATTTTATCTCTTTTGGAGCTGAAAGTTTGCCTCTTTCTTTTCAGACAATCATCATACAGCCCACTCCTTTCTCCCACCTTTCCCTAGCATACATATATTTTGTGTACGTTCTTTCTGTATCTTGTGTCAGTCATAATCTCTTTGAGACAGGAGTTGTCCACCAGCGTGTGCAATGGATCACATTCCTCAGTTCATCTTGCAGCCCTTAAAAAGAAAAAAAAAAAAAAAACAACAAAAACTACTTGGGCAATAGGGACGGCATACTTCTGGTGTAGCGGGAAGATTCATCACTTTAAATGTATCCCACTTTCGTTTTCTTTTGTTGCCATTACCCAGATGGAATGCCTTTTTATAATACCATACAGGTGCAATGAAAATGAATCATACAAAATTATGCTAAACTCAGCTAACTGCTCCCTCCATGCTGAGCAGCAGTAAAAGGTGTTTCACTGCTCTTGTTTTCTAATCCTTATTTTTTATACTGGAGCGTGTGAAACTTGTCAGGAGACTGACACAAATGAATTGTGGTCATTTATATGGGTTCACTTTCCTGTTGTCATGTTTTTCTCAGCTTCCTGAACAGTGGTGAGCTCCCAGCATTTCACAGAGGTGTGTTAAGCACTCTAAATTTTCAGAGTCCTTACTCTGGTGGAGCTCCTGTTGAGGTCAGGTTTTCCAGATCTTGATAGCCTCAAAGTTTGGGCAGATTTCAAAGGAGCCAAGATTTTGTGGCTGTAGCTGCAGGACCCTTTTCAAAGGGATGTAACTCTCCTGCTAATTGATGCCTACCTTAAAAAATGCCTAGCAAATTATCTGTTATTCCTTCAGTGAGTAACATGAACTCTACCTTAAAATACTTTCCAAAGTGCCAAGTAGTTTAAGCAACATTTTATGTTATCTACTTTTTTCAGTGACTGCTATTGACAAATGTCCATGATTCATGGATATTATAATTGTCCACGTTCCCAAGTTACTTCCAGGTGTTCACTTTTTAGTGGAAATATTCTAAACTCTAATATTTGTTCCTCATTTTAAATTTTGTCTTGTATGCAACGAGTGATAACTGTCTTCTCTCTTTCTTCCTTTATTATTAGACCTTTCACAAGGCTGTGGATTTCAGATCTTGTGAATTGTGACTAATACTTTCTTCTGTGAACCATTCTGATAAATCATAGTGTGTCAAATGTATCTGTAATCTGTGTGTTTCGAAGTGGAAATGCATATATTATAGATAAGGTCCAAAGCACTATAGAACATCAATAGAATTGTAAAGAAAAAACTCTATAGATTCTTGAAAAGCTCTTATCGTGTTTAATTGCTATTTTAGGCCTTTGACATTTAACGCAACATTATCTTAATGTATACTTTTATTTAAAATAAAATACCAGGAAAGCCTATAGTGCAGGCTTTGTCTTAAACTTTGTCTTTAACTTTTGTCTTTAACTTTGTCTTAAAAAGAGATAGCCCCAATCCTTGTACATGTGAGTGACTTTTAAATGATGTCATGAGCTCATAGAAAGAGTTTACAGTCATGTAATTACTTGCATACATGAATGCATTTTTGAGTTCCTGCCTGTGCATGTTAATCAGATGGGAGATAACAGGAAAAATTCATTTGTAGGTACAGATCCATAGCATGAGACACTGTTTTTTAATTTTAATCCAGCCTGATTTTGAACATGGGGAAACAATATAACCGTTACCCATGTCTATATCAGGCTCATATATAATACACACTTTATGGCTTTGCATTTTGCTATAATCTGTCTTTAAATTTTAAGTTCTGTGCTAGATTTTCTTCTTCTATAAGCATGCCCAGCCGCCACTGAAATCAATGTGAATTGTGTGTTTATGAAGCTGAGAGTTTAGAACATGACTAGATGTATGTTTCAGTAGTTCAGATTGTTTTCCTATGTAGCATCTCTATATTGCCCCATTTGTATTCATTTTTCCTCTACTCTCTGCTTTCCCCAGCTGTTTGATCTGGTGTACAGAGAAGAGACTTTGCTAAATGTGATTAAAAGTGTTACCCGGAATGGTCGTTCCATTATCCTCACTGCAGTGCTGGCACTCATCCTAGTTTATCTCTTCTCCATCATTGGGTTCCTCTTCTTGAAAGATGACTTCATCATGGAGGTTGACAGGTTGAAAATCAGGACCCCTGTTGCAGGTTTTTTTTTTTTATATTAAAATTTGCTTCCAACATACACCTTTTCTGTCTGTCTAACCTAACTTTCCTCGAAGGAAATATAACTTTTTTTAGTTATATCTGTGGGAGCAGAACTAATTTTGTTATACCTTAGGACTAAATTAAATCTCTTGGTAAAATTTAATATGTGGGGTTGTTTTAGACTAGGTTTGTCTGTTGAATTACTAAAATCTAACACTCACACTTGATTTATTACATTTTCTTTTCTAAATCATGCTAATATAAAAAAAAACCACAAATCTAAGTTTCCTAAGTATTTGGAAGAGCAGCTCGAAGTGGATTCTATTGGTTCTCATCCCACCTTAAAAGCAGGTCGTAGTATTTTTTGTGTGCTGCTTGAGGCATGTGATCTTAACATGTTCAGTAGATGTAACCGTTTGATTACTTTTTAAGCTTCATCCAGCAGAAATTTATTACAGAATCCACCCTTCTGCTGATTGGAGATTTCCTGGAACATCTTTTAAATTCAGTGTGTATTTCACAAACATCACTTTTAGTGTAGAAGCCTGGCTTCCTTAAAATCATTGGGAGTTTTTTAACCAGTTTTAAAAAGGCCAAGATTTCGCCTTTCTGGAATGAGAGATTTTTCAAATGTGGATAGAGAGTTACAGACTTGCTTTGCTAGAAAAAAAGCCAGGTCTGGTCTGTTGAGATCTTTGTGTATGCTGCCAACCAGCCTGCTGGGAGCATGGGCAGAGAAGTAACTGTCTGCAGAGAAATACCCTAGAATAGCTTGTGATTAAATTCACAGAGCTGTGATTTTCCCAAATGCTGAGCTCTTCAGACCTGTACACAAGCACAGAATGACTAGTGAGATCCACCCCGGACTGTGTGCACTCAGTTTTTGCCAGCCTTTTCCTAAATTTTTTATTTCAGGACCTAAAGCACACAAACAGGGGAAAGCTCATTCAAGACTCGTGGGCATGGTGTAGTCATATAGCTGTTTTGATACCATGTGAAAAAAAAGAACCTGACGTATTTCTTTTTGCCACTGATCCTCTTGAAAGGGCTAAGTTGGCTTATATTTGAGTTACCATTCATTTTGAGAGAGAACATGCGATCTGAAGTTTCATTTTGAAAGATAATTGATTGTGGCCATCGTAGAAGAACGGATGCGAGGCTACACGCAGCACCGGTCTGGTTCCAAGTGCAGTAGTTCCTGTGTGTTTCTGTTTCTTCTGTTGGGTTCTTGGAGATTTTTGTGGTGTGGGTATATTCTTGCTGGCTTTATACATTGCCATTCTTCATCCAGAACTCATCAGGAAAATATGCTGACCATATACTGATGGAACATTATGCATCCCAAGACAAGTGCTTTAAATTTTTTCTTTATGAAGTAACACAGAGAGAAAGTCAGAATGGATGTTTTCTGTGACACGGATTGTCTTAGACTGTTACTTTGGTTGTATGGTTTTGCCTTCATTTTTTTCCTCCTTAAACCTTTTTGTATCTCTGATTTGAAATGCAGAAAATTGTTGAAGATGCACAGGATAAAATTGGTTTGATAAAATCAAGCTGATGTACACATTTACCCACTTTGGGAATGTTAAATTAGTGTTTTACACAAACCCATACATATTTACAAATGAGTACCAAACTGTGTTATAATCCTTGAAAACTCTTAAATATTCTACATTCAGGATAACTGAACATCAGCTTGGTGTCCTTCTTGTCAGGTTTTGTGAATAATTTATCTAATGGTTTTAAAACTGACATTATTTTCATATCTGTCAGTTGTTTCTTGCTTTGAATGTATTTTGTTCTAACCAGAAGTAGCAGCATTTGATGTATATTCATTAATTTCCAGAGATGAAATGGGAATAGCTGTGATACACAGTAAATATGAAACTGTGTTTTTGTTCCTTGTGATTGCTTTGAGCTGTTGAGGCAGAGTGTTTGAGGAAGGAGGAATTGGTGGTATAATTTGTTCTGCTTTTTCTTCTCAACTTTTCAAATCAGTGATTCACTTCTAGAAAACAATGATTTAAAACTTTTTATCAATGCACTATCTGTCTTTTTGTCAATATCCTGCTTTTTCCACAGGTATTGGTGAAGCCCCCACTACAACCCTCACATCAATGATGGGGGCCTGTGCAAAAGAGAACTGTTCCACAAGCATCCCAATTATTAACCCGGGTTAGTACAAAAGTTACCCCAAGCCGATGATCAATTAGAACTGAGGGATTTGTGTGTTACTCTTCTAGCGTGAAAAGCGATGATCGTTGTTGTAAGTCGGAAGTGCTCAACTTCCACAAGGCTTGGAGCTTAGTTGGCAACTTGCCTTTAATGCGAGTGATTCCCACACCTGATTTCCAATTGCACTGGTTCCCACACCTGATTTCCAATTGCACTGATGTTAATTCTGTTATTTAAAGAGCTTGCTGAATCACCGTGATTGAACGTACAGGTTGCTTCTTTTTAACTGACTTTGCTGAGAGAAGGAGCTTGCTGCTGATGTGCAGCATCCTCACCTGCACACAGTGAGCCACTATTAGATTCATTTAGGGCCACGTAAGTTGATGTTCATGGCACAGCATGTATCAGTAAGGTTTTGCATATACTTACATGCTTCTAGGCCAAGCTTGTAGTGTAGCCAGAAGACCTAAGAGCCCAGATCCAGGATCGAGTTACTATGTCTTGACAAGTTACTGTGGCTCAGCTAAGCACAGGCAGCAGTCCAGCTGTGCTTTCTGAGCTCGTGGCAAACACAAGCAAATGCAACTTACTGTTGAAAGCCTTGCTTGTGACAGGAAAGTT